GTGGCGTGTTTTGGGGTGCTGGGAAGCTCAGCTCATGCCAACCCCACCGACGGGCTGATTGCGGGGGGCAGCAATAGGTCCTGGGGGAGGAGAAGACCCTCGTGTGCCCCTTCTGCAGAGCACTCAGGGACGCACCTTGGCCCCGGCACCGTCTGGGTGATGGGGGCGCATCGGGGTGCTGCTGGGTTTGGGTGCTGGGCCTGGGTGCTGGGCTCCCACCCAGCGCAGGCAGCATCTCCTGGCGCACAGCCCTGCTGTTCCAGCCTCATCCCTGCACCCCAGCCGGGCTGGGCCCACGGGAAGGTGCTTCACCCCACACCGCGAGCCCCAACCGATGCGGCTCTGCCCCCAGCCCCCAGGAGCAGGATGTGAAGGGCAGCTCGGCCAAGCCCCCGCCGGCCACTTTTCACTCTGTGGCTTGAGACTCGCTCACACAGGGAGTTTAATTTGCTGTCGGAAGCACGTGCGGGCTGGCGGCCAAGAGCGGGCACGGCTCTGGCACCCGGCTTGGCATGGCCAGGGGGGTTCTTGAGCAAAGCCAAGTGAGGAGGAGGAGGATGGAGGCCTTTGCGCTGTGTGAGGGGTGTGCAATGTGCAGCCAGACACCTGCCAGCGCCGGGCAGTGGCTGGCAACCCCCCTGCAGTGATTATTTAGCAATTTGTGCCTGAGCAAGGCTCCCCATCTCGGCAGAGGCTGTATCCAAGCGACCTGTGGACCAAGCTATTAATCCGGGCTCAGCCCACAGCACGGCGGCTGCTGGCCTGTGAGGAGAGCTCGTTTCTCACCCCGCGGCTTCCAGCAAAGTGAGGGGCGGGTTCGGGGTTGTTTTTTTTCCCCTGACAGGAGGTGACCACGGCAGGAGGGACATGGCAGGTGCCGGCTGCTGCGGTGTGAAGCGAGCAGGGAACAGAAAGGGGCTGGGAGTGGGATGAATGTCTGCCTTCTCCTTCCTTTTCCATCCCATCCCATTCCATCCCAATCCCTACCCACATCCCCTTTTATCCAACCTCATCCTCATCCCCATCCCATCTCCATTCCCATCCCCTCCTATCCAACCCCATCCCCATCCCATCCTCAGCAGATCCCATCTGCATCCCCCTTTATCCAATCCCATCCCCATCCCCACCTATCCAATCCCACCCCAATTCCATCCCTATCCGAATTCCATCCCCATCTCACCCCCACCCCCCAGACAGGTGAGCCCTGGGCCGGGGACTGTGCCTGGGGCACAGGCTCAGGCACCACAGAGGGTCTCGACCTCAGCGTCGCTGGCAGCTCCGCATGGGGGGGGCCTGTGCCACGCTTGGTGGTTCCCAGTGCCGACAACGGAGCCACAGGGGTGACATTCCACAGCCAAACCCCCCTCCCCGAGCCCTGCAGCTTCTCCCCAGAAGTATCCCCACTTCTCTCCCTCCCTGGGTGCTGGCAATCATCCCTCACCTTCACCCAGGCTGCTTCATCCCCCAAAATGCCACCACAGCTCTTGGGCTGGTGGACTCGGTGACAAACATTGATGGGGCTGAGATAACACTTTGGGAAAAGGCTCCCTGGGAGGGGAGCACCGGGACAAGGACGATGCCACCGACTGCCACGCAGGGACCTTGGTCACCTTCCCTGCATCCTTCAGCTTCGGGTGGCCTTAGAGGGGGACCCTGCGTGGGGACAGGGACAGGACCAGAGCCCCATCCCCGCCGAGGCGATGCAGCGAGTGCTGCAGTGCAGCTGCTGCTCGAGGCACATTCGGTCAGTGCCTACAGATGGGGAAAAAAAAAATACCCAAACAACAAACCCAACCCCAACGTGCTTTTCCTCTGTGCTGCTATTTATTAGGCTACAAAAGAAAGGAGGGGTGGGAAAAAAAATAACCCAGGGCACTTAATAACCTTACAGATGTAGAAACTCTTCTGGAAAACAGCCTGTCTCCCTGTCCAAAATCAGTCATCCTGCAGGCTGGGTTTTTCCAGCTTATTGTAATTCTCGCGAAGGCTCAGCCCTAACGGGAGGCGAATTGGTTATTCAGCACCGATCCTGGCTGGGAATGGAGCTGGGGGTGGAAGGAGGGGGGGGGGG